GAAAGGTGCCACTAGCTTCGCGGTCGAAAGGTACTTTAGTCGGCCAGCTAAATGTGAGGCATGCATTCAACATGACAAGAGGGACGAGCAACGATCGGTCCTTAATCGACACAGACGGAAACTAACAGCACCCCAGAACCCTGTCTAGTTGCCTCCAACTTTTTCCGTTCGGTCACCAATTATCCATCACACATGGTTAATTCTAGGATATCATTCTTTCCATAGCTAAATTCTTCCAGTAATCACATATAATGTAGGTGACCGGATATCATCGATCGCTACCGATCCAAGCAGGGCTAAGCAGTTATTCGATCCTGACCTAACAGGGTAAAAGGTAACAAGGTAGGCAAGGATAGTAATAAATACATCAACGGTTTCAATCAACTCCTACAACTTAATGCAACAATATATAAACTCATATATATAGAAAGAATTGCTTTTATAAAGCAGGAGACTTATAATGCTCCGGGGCTTGCCTCGTTTGAACAAACTAGACTGATGATCCACGCACTCAGGCAAGTCCTCTCCTAGCTCCTCTTCCTCTGGCACCTTCTGTGCCTGGACTTCTTGTGGATCTGTCCCGGTCTGCTCTTCCTGAACTGCTACTAGCAACTCCTCCTGCGATCCTGTATGATGCAGATGTATAAGTGCTAATGCATAGGTGCATCGGAGAGATGACATATAATGATCATGATGCATGAAATGTAGATGACCATGTTTAACTTTATTGAACATAGTAGTAGCAAAGCTCGTCTACAAGGTAGTCGACATCATCCAAGAACATGTACTACTATCTACTACGACAACCATTGTACTAACATGTCAAATCACCACAGCAAGTTAAGATGCTTCAAAGATACACCAAAGCAAACATTATTAACTAAACATGCATTAAAGAAGATTATTTTATTTCATTTTAAACTAGGGCTACACAACAACATATATTTCTATTGCTCATAAAAATCTAAGAAAATTACAGTAGCATAGTACTACTCTAAGTAGACTGCCATAAAATTTTCATGGCATTTGGATAAGTAAAATAGCCTACACAAAAATGACAAGCTATGGTTCATAATTAAGCATGAAAATACTTTGTACTATGAAAAGTGTCAAACTACATATTTGGTATTTTTCCTATGTTCTACACAGTAAATAATCACTGCACAAAAATTATCATATACATGTTTTATATAATTTTTGCTCTCTATCAAAATAACAAACATCAATTAAAGGCACTTGAACTACACATCAATATTTCTCTACAGAATATGCATGACATATATTTTTTCTACAAAGCACATCACTAAAGGAGATTAACAAAACTAGAACCACATTTTTCTGATGTATATTCTATTTACTAGACATTTTCTAAGAAATCAGCATTTATTCAATTTAAATAAAACTACACAGAAAAGTATCACAAATTTGACATGCAATATTTTTAGCAGATAGATCTAGTCACAAGAAATCTAGCAAAACTTATTTCAACAAATTTGGAGCCATTTTGAGCAAGTTATAAATTTTCAAAGCCTTTAAACAAAATCTATAAATCATTTCTTAATTTCATTCTAAAAATCCATGTTCGAAATTGCTAGATCCACCCGAATCTCTACCCAGGCTTGCACCCCAGTGACTGACAGTGGGTCCCCTTGCCCCACCAGTCAGTCACTAAGGCAGGGGAGGCGCTCGGTCGAAGCGGTTCTCGCCGCCGGTGAACTTGCCGGCGGTGAGGTCACCACCGGGGGCTTCCCCGAGACAAGGCGGACCTAACGGTACCCCCACCGCGGCCAGTGGAGCTCGGGAGCAAGCTCACCGGCGTCCATGGCGGCGCGGTGGCGCGGCTCAACGTCGGCCGACCAGCTCCGGCTGAGAGGTGGTGGTGGGAGTGGTCTGTGAGCTCTACTGCGTCGTCGGTCTGGTCTTTGGTCTGTGTGAGAGGAGAGAGAGGAGAGAGAGGCGAGGCCTAGGGGAGCGACATTCCGGCGAGGAGGAGCTCACTCCGATGAGCGATTGGCGAGAAGGGAGCTCCCCAGGCTTACTGAGGCGAGCACGGGGTGCTTGAGGTGGAGGCGGAGCACGGGCGAGATGGGGTAGTGGTCGGGCGAGCTAGAGCGGCCGGGCAGCCAACTCCGGCGCGAGTGGCCAAAAGTGAAGCGAGTGGCGGAGGCCAGCGCGTGCTGCTTCTCTGCTGTCCGAAGCGAGAAGCAAATGAGATGGAGGAGAGGGAGGCGACGCGGTGTGGCGGGTGTGTAAGCCTTGACAGGGGAGGGCTTGGGGCCACCGTGTGTCACGCGGTGAGTGACAGCGATGATGGCGTGACGGACACGGCCGCCGAGCGAGCTCATGGTTGGTGGGGCGTGGCGCGGCACATGGGAGCGGGATAATGGTGTGAGGCAGGCAGGCCCGGCCTGCCAGGTCTTGGGCGAAAAGGAAGCGGCGGCCCGCTAAGGTAAATAAAAGGATTTTTCTTTTTATTTCTTAATAAACAGAACTAAAATTCTATTTTGAGCCATTTTAAAAGCATTTTCACAAGTTGGTGTAAAAATAAAAGTTGTTCAGAAAAAAGTACTCTACAACTTTGCCAAAAAGAGTATGGCCAAAATCCAATTAAATTTTGAACTATAGATTGAAAGTTAATTAAAATAAAAAACCCGATTTCAGAAGGTTATTTTTAAAAGCAAAATTTGAGAAAACTTTGAATAAACACCTTTATCCAAATTGCATCTTAGCTACTTCTAATTGGTCTAAGTGATCAACCAAGGTACACACATGGCAAAACAAACATAGCATCCAATCTATCAAAACAAAACTATGCAACATACATGTTTCAATAGTATGTTTCCATTCTATATTTCATGTCATGCGTATGCATGTAAATAAATGATTATGCTCATGATTTACAAATTGCTAATGCATGCTTAACACCGAGGTGTTACAACCCGTGTATGATGCGGGAGTCTTGGTGGTACCCGATTTAGGTGGAAAAGTGCGGAGTGTGTGTCCACAGGGCACGGTAACCCCTGCACCGTCAGTAGGGGATGGTAAAAAGGAGATTTGGCCACTGTCCCATCGCCCCTGTTGTTGTACCCTACCAGTCGTGGCAGACGTAGTAGGTGTGACCAGGCGCACTTAAACGGATGGGGCGACTCGCCAGAGGGACGGTTGAGGCGGAGGCGATGAGGATGCGGGACGAGCCCGGCCTCGGCCGAGGCGGAGAAGGAATAGTACGTCCGAAGCCCTGCCGGGGGGTCTCGGACGAGGCGGAGGACGAGCAGTTGGTCTTTTGTGCTGATTTCGAGACTACATGGACCCGGACTTGACCCTTCACGTCGCTTTGTCCTTGGCGCAGGAGTTGGTAGCACGGGCAAGACGGGTGGTTAGGGGGACGCTGATGATGAGCATAGTGGCGAGTAACCCCGCTGCGCTGGTCCCCTATCCGTCGGTCACTCGCTCTGATCGCGCGCGCAACGCACGGCCGACGTTGCGGGAGTAGTTGGGCGCATTAACTGGACGTGACGTTTTGTCAGGTGGGTTGGTCGGGACGGAGGTGACGAGGTTGTTGCCGAGCCCAGCCTCGGACGAATCGGAGAATTGGTATCCCGTTCGAGGTCTTGCAGGGCGGGGCCTCAGCGAGGGGGCCTCGGCGAGAGGGCCTTGGTGGGGCGGAGAGTTTTGGTCTTTCGTCTGAGACCTCGGCGCAAGCCTCGGGCGAATCGGAGAATCGACCGAGACCTCGTGGTTGTCCTTTGGCTTTGATTTTTGCAAGGCTTAAGCAATATTTTCGGTTCTTGCTAAGGGTACCCCTTCTTGTGGTATCCAACAGGTATTACGTTAAGCTGACGGTCTAAACCTGTCTAAATCATTATATGTGTGTTATGTGTCACCGTTCGATTTCGATCATACACTTCCACTAATTTATCTACTATCGTGGACATATTTCTGGCTAGATTGCCTCCACCAATCCATCAAGTACATGTACACTAATATACACTAGTATATAAAATATAAATATACATGGAGGCGGCGCCGACGGAGCAGCTGCAGTGGTGATGGTACGGTGCCCAGCTGACAGTGACAGGAGCTCAAGACGACAACTAACATAGGTCTTGTTTAGATCGTAAGTTTTTTCACTCTCTCTTTATTACATTAAATCTTTAAACATATACATAGAGTATTAAATGTAGATAAAAAAATAACTAATTATATAGTTTGATTGTAAATTACGAGACAAATTTTTTGAGCCTAGTTAGACCATAATTAAATAATAATTATCAAATATAAACGAAAATGCTACAATATCAAATATTGATTCCTAACCTCATTCTAAACACGTCCATAATTTTTGTGCCTGCTGATGAGCGTACATAACATACAGGTAGAGCAAGCAAGCACACCGACAGCAGCAGACTGCCCGTGCTGTGCCTGCACCTACACTGCTGCACAGAAGCGAAGAGAAGAGAAGAGAAGGCAACGCCAACGGCCGACCGACCGACCGACGGACGGACGGGGAAGGTTGCGAGTCGCAGTCGTCCTCTTAACAGAGAGACCGCTCCAACAAGGTCGTGAGTGAAGTGGAGTCGTGGTGGGACGCCACGCGAATCGACGCCCATCGTCTTCATCACGCACGACGCGGCCGCGCGCCTCTTCCATTCCACTCCTCTCTCCTCCGCTTCTTGTCCTTCGCCACCACCAGCCAGCAGGCCGCAGCGGATGAAGAATATCGTCAAGCATGGCGTGTACGGTGATCATCATCAGTCGATCCCCAGCAGGCTAGCTCCATATGATCCTCCTCTATTCCTCTTCCTCTAGCTAGCTAACCGTCCCGCACCACCCACCACCATAGATCATCTCATCTCATCGATCCAGGCACGCACCACCAACCGTCCCTCCACCAATTCCCATCCCAAATTCATTCCGATTATACGTATTGATCAACCCAACCAACCCCATACCATACCCGCCGGTTGTTGGTACTGGTAGGCACCGGCCAGCAGCCAGCCATGAAGCTCGTCGTCGAGATCTCCGACGCCGCCGACCTCGCCCCCAAGGATGGCGCCGCCTCCTGCAACCCCTACGTCGAGGTCGACTTCGACGACCAGCGCCAGCGCACCGCCACCAAGCCCGCCGACCGCTCCCCGTACTGGAACCAGACGCTGGTCTTCGACGTCCGCGACCCCGCGCGCTTCCCCTCCCTCCCCGTCGACGTCTCCGTCTTCCACGACCGACGCCTCCAGGACCACAACGCACTCCGCCCGCACACCTTCCTGGGCCGCGTCCGCATCAACGGCGCCTCCGTCGCTCCGTCGCCAGAGGAGGCCGTCCTGCAGAGGTACCCGCTCGAGAAGCGGGGGCTCTTCTCACGCGTCTCGGGAGACATCGCGCTCAGGATCTACCTCGTCGGGGATGTCAATGAAACCGTACCTGTTTCTGCTGCTCCCAACCAGCAACAGGAGTCCGTCGCCGCCGCCGCCGCCAGCGGAGACCCCGAAAGGATCGTCAGGTCCGCCTTCGCACCACAGCAGCCGCCGCCGGTGGAGCAGTCAGAAGCCCAGGGGCAGGGGAAGAGCGGCGGAGGCCCAGCAGGGGATGAGCACGAGGCACGGCCTCCTCGCATCTTCCGCTCCGTGCCAGCCTCGGGAGGAGGAGGAGGTGGCGGAGGAGCCGACCAGCAGCCTCGCCGCACTCTCCACGCCGTGGCCGCGCCTCCTCCTCCGCCCGGCCAGACGGTCGTCATGCCCAAACCCACTGCCGCCGCCCCTCCCGGCCCCGCCTTCGGCCTGGTCGAGACCAAGCCTCCTCTGCCGGCCAAGATGGGCCCGCGCGCCGCCGCCGCCGCCGCCGCCAAGATCGCGTCCACGTACGACATGGTGGAGCCGATGGCGTACCTGTACGTGAGCGTGGTGAAGGCGCGCGACCTCCCCAACATGGACGTCACCGGTGCGCTGGACCCCTACGTGGAGGTGAAGCTCGGCAACTTCAAGGGCGTCACCAAGCACCTGGACAAGAACCCCAACCCGGTGTGGCGCCAGACCTTCGCCTTCTCCCAGGAGCACCTGCAGTCCAACCAGCTGGAGGTGGTCGTCAGGACAAGGACATGATCAGGACGACTTCGTCGGCCGCGTCCTCTTCGACATGACCGACATCCCTAAGCGGCTGCCCCCCGACAGCCCGCTCGCGCCGCAGTGGTACCGCCTCGCCGACCGGCACGGCGAGAAGGTGCGGCACGGCGAGATCATGCTCGCCGTGTGGATCGGCACGCAGGCCGACGAGGCGTTCCCGGAGGCGTGGCACTCGGACGCGCACTCGCTGCCCTTCGAGGGCCTCTCCAACACCAGGTCCAAGGTCTACTACTCGCCCAAGCTCGCCTACCTCAAGGTGGTGGCCATCGCGGCGCAGGACGTGTACCCCGCCGGCTCAGAGAAGGGCCGGCCCCTGGCGCCCACCATCGCCAAGATCCAGCTCGGGTGGCAGGTCCGTCGGACGCGGCCGGGGCAGCCGCAGGGCTCCACCAACCCCGTGTGGAACGAGGAGTTCATGTTCGTGGCCGGCGAGCCGTTCGACGAGCCGCTGGTGGTGACGGTGGAGGAGCGCGTGGCGGCGGGGCGCGACGAGCCCGTGGGCCGGGTGATCATCCCCGTGATCTCGCCGTACGTGTACCGCAACGACCTGGCCAAGTCGGTGGAATCCAAGTGGTTCAACCTTTCGCGCGCGCTGACGGCGGACGAGGCCGCGGCGGGCGTCACCGCCGCCAAGGCCCTGGCGGAGAAGACGACCTTCTCGAGCAAGATCCACCTGCGGCTGAGCCTGGAGACAGCGTACCACGTGCTGGACGAGTCGACGCACTACAGCAGCGACCTGCAGCCGTCGGCGAAGAAGCTGCGCAAGTCGTCCATCGGCATCCTGGAGCTGGGCATCCTGAGCGCCCGGAACCTGGTGCCCATGAAGGCCAAGGAAGGGCGGCTGACGGACCCCTACTGCGTGGCCAAGTACGGGTCCAAGTGGGTGCGCACCCGGACGGTGCTCAACACGCTGGCGCCGCAGTGGAACGAGCAGTACACGTGGGAGGTGTTCGACCCCTGCACCATCGTCACCGTCGCCGTGTTCGACAACGGGTACGTCCGTGGTGGCGGCGAGGGCAGCAAGGACCAGCGGATCGGCAAGGTGCGCGTGCGGCTGTCGACGCTGGAGATCGACCGCGTCTACACCCACATCTACCCGCTGATGACGCTCACCCCGGGCGGGCTGAAGAAGACCGGGGAGCTGCACCTGGCGGTGCGCTTCACCTGCACGGCGTGGGCCAACATGCTGGGCATGTACGCCAAGCCGCTGCTGCCCAAGATGCACTACAGCCACCCCATCTCGGTGCTGCAGCTGGACTACCTCCGGTTCCAGGCCATGCAGATGGTGGCGGCGCGGCTGGGGCGCGCCGAGCCGCCGCTGCGGCGGGAGGTGGTGGAGTACATGCTGGACGTGGACTCGCACATGTTCAGCCTGCGGCGGAGCAAGGCCAACTTCAACCGCATCACCCCCCCTCTTCTCGGGCGTCGTGGCCGTGGCCAAGTGGATGGACGGCATCTGCAAGTGGAAGAACCCGCTGACGACCATCCTGGTGCACGTGCTGTTCCTCATCCTGGTGTGCTACCCGGAGCTGATCCTGCCCACAGTCTTTCTCTACCTCTTCATGATCGGCGTGTGGAACTACCGGCGGCGGCCGCGCAAGCCGCCGCACATGGACACGGTGCTATCGCACGCCGAGTCCGGGCTGGTGCACCCGGACGAGCTGGACGAGGAGTTCGACACGTTCCCCACCAGCAAGCCCGGGGACGTGGTGCGGATGCGCTACGACCGCCTGCGCAGCGTGGCCGGGCGGGTGCAGACGGTGGTCGGCGACCTGGCCTCGCAGGGGGAGCGGGCGCAGGCGCTGCTCAGCTGGAGGGACCCGAGGGCGACGGCCATCTTCATCATGCTCTCGCTCGTGGTGGCCGTGGTGCTCTACGTGACGCCGTTCCAGGTGGTGGCCGTGGTGCTGGGGCTCTACCTGCTGCGCCACCCGCGCTTCCGGAGCAAGCAGCCGTCGGTGCCCTTCAACTTCTACAAGAGGCTGCCGGCCAAGTCCGACATGCTGCTCTAGCGTCCCCTTGTGTAACTGGAACTGGAATTGGAATTGGAATTGGATCCCTTGCAGGTTGCAGCAGCATCAGCAAGACAGCAAACAAGCACGTTTTTTAGTTTCTTATTAAATTACTATTTATTACCACGAATCACAAATAAATAAATGTAAATCCATAATACTCCTAGTCCTAGATAGGAGGAGTTCGATCAGTAGATGTATGTACATGAAGAAGCTGGCCACCTTTTTGTGGTTCAGAAGAGAAGAGTGGTACGTACAGTACTCTGAATAAGGAACAGCAACATTTTCATTCAGAAGAAGCTTCCTTTTCCTTCCTGTTTGTCTCTGAATAAAGAACAAAATATTTATACTCCTACTAGTACATTCCGAATCACCCAGATTAGGACTATGATTCATTCATCCAGAAGCAGCAGCAGCAAAAGCCGGCAAAGCAATCATCAGTCCTGTGGGGATCAAGATCAACTAACTAAAAGGTGGTTGATGCACTCTTTTCATCCCCCTTTTTTTTCTCTCATCATCAATCATGTGATGTGGCCTGTGCCTGTGGGGGAGGGAATTGCAAGTGATCTATGAACAGGCAGGCAGGCAGGCAGGCAGGCAGGCTACATTACATAGAGTACCTACCAGTAGTAGTTGATGCATCATGCATCCACCATTTTTCATCCTGGGTGCCACTAAAGTGCATATGCATATCTTATCCTTTTCCCTCCATGATATGAATGAATATACTACAATACAGTACAAGAATAAAGCCTTGCGTGGAAGGTGCACTGCATATTCTTTTTTCTTTCTTGTCTTTAGAGCACCCAAATGCATATCCTGTAAGTCCAATGTGATTGATGTGTGCAAATTAAAGGTGCCTCACTGCATGCAGTTGCATGGACCACCTTCTTATTCTTGCTTTTATTTATTTGCCGTCTTTTCGGCTGGATGGATGGCATAATAATATTCTCTCTGTTTTTTTTAAAAGTCGATCGGATTGCATAATTTGAGAGTGGACTAGGTGTAGGTGTACGTGTAGTCCAGCAAGCAAAGCAAAGCGAAGCGAAGGTCGCACAAGACAGAACGGAGGAGTCTGGTCCATCATGGGGGTGGTGTCATAGGGATATGAATGAACAATATACGAATCATATATGATTCGATCGCCTTCTCTCTCAACTTTAGCTTTCTGGAGGATATACCGTATATCTTTTCTACTATATACATAAAAAAGACATGGCCATGGAGAATAAATCAGATCAAAGTTGGCCTGCCTCTGCTGCCTGACCATTCCTGATCCTTGTGTTCTGTGGACTGTAACGTTTCAACCACCCCCTCCTTCCTTCTTGCCGCCGCCGCAGTAGCAGCCGGATAGATTGGGTAATTTACTTGGGTTGTTTTGTCTCCCTGCATGGTGTTCTGCTCCCTTCTTCTATAGATGGCCAAACAGCCCCACAAACTGATTTTGACCGTGTTTAATGAAAAAGTTGTTTTTGTGTTGTAGTGATTCACCCTTGTCATGCGCCGGCCACACCTCACCGTCCGATGATCATATCTGCTTTCCCTCTCTCTCTTTCCCTCTTCCCCCCGGTAAGGAGCCGAGAAGGTCACCCTCATCGGTCAATTTGGGCCTCATTCGCGTGCCCTTAAATCCGGCTTGATCCGCTTCTTTTTTCATTTGGAATAGTGTTTTTCTCTCACAAATTCCTCTAGAATTCCTCCAAACCATCCAAATTCCTCCACAACCATACCAGCCGAATGTTCTAGAAAGAAGCCACTTTAACAAAAAAAAAAGAGCCCCAAAGTGTTTTCTTTTTAAATAAAAACACACCATGGCCGTTGAATGTCTACGCCATGTCGAATTAAATGTCAAACGAAGGGATATATAGACATCTAGTGAACCACTTTAGTGTTTAAGAATCCAAAACCATACTTTCAAAATTAATGGACCTAGGCAACAACCGAGGCAAAGTGATGATGCGTATTCTCAACTGCTTAAGTCGGTTGCTATCTCATAATCCTAGGTGACATGTTAATATCAGCAATGGCTAGTATAAAAGTGTACTCGTCATCCAGTGGCTTATCTTTGGCACAGTGTCCAAAATCAGTGGGGGTCCCATGTTAAAAAAATAATATACCCAAAAAACACAGCTGTCACTTACGTCTCATGCAAGGGCACAGCCAGAGAGAGGGGGCAGAGACCAAGGTGGAGAGAGAACAAGTGGGTCCCATAAGCAGCCTCGACTAGCATGTGGGTTGCTAGATAGCGTGACGTACGTTGCTACGGGATAACTAACAATTTATACTAAAAATACATGGATCGTAAAAATTAAATACCAAACATTAAAGTGACATTTAATCAAAAAGCAAAGTTTGTGAATTTAACACAGTCACGAAGTGCGGGGTGTCGCAGTCTCATAAACTCTACTTTATAGACCTTTCCGTGATGCGGCTAAGATAATATTTTATATTGGCAGAAAGAAATCTTCAATATCCATTTCTTTCATTATAATCCATTTATCTAGATAATGTTTGTAACCGTGCCCTCACCTCAAACATATATGTTTATTCGGATAATATCGCAAAGCTACTAAAAACTGTAATCATGCCCTCACCTCAAACATTGTCCCGATAAATGGATTACAATGAAAAAAATGGATATCGGAGAATTCTTTCTGCCGATATAAAATATTATCTTAACCATATCACGAAAAAGTCTATACAATAGAGTTTGTGAGCCTGCGACGCCGCGCTCTCCGTGACTGTATTAATTTCACGAACTTTGTTTTTTGAATTAAATGTCATTTTAACGTCGGTATTTAATTTAACAGTATTGTTATCTTATCGTGCGATCCGTGTGTTTTTAGTACAAAAGATTTAGTTGTCCCGTAGCAACGCACGAGCACGCTACCTAGTTGAATATAAAAGGAGAGAACTGGCTGCATTCGTACATATAGTGTACGTCAGTTAAAGTTTTGTTTGAATTAACTCAGTTTGCGAACTAATAGTAATAACTAAATGTAGCATATATCGAATTCTGTGTTGCTACGGGAAATATTCGTTTAGAAAATTGCAGAAGGTTCACCAGTCTCACCATGTATAACCTGCACATCTTTTATTTGGTACCACTGATGTTCTCAAGGAGCAGCCACTTTTTAATTTCAGGTCTACATGCTGGAAACACTAAAATTGAGTCGTCTTACTTGATCTTTGTCAATTGTCTTGTTTGAGCTTTGGGAACAAATTATACCATTCGTAAAGACTAACACATAAATAGGTAGAAGCTGCAAGAATAAAGCTAGGTGGCCTACTATGCACCCAGCCTAAATTTAATACCCTCTAAATTATGGACAATATCATATGAACTGTTGTAACCGACATGTTAACTCCATCATGTAGTACACCTAAGTATTGAACATGCACATGCATAGTTTTTTATCATAGAATATATTTTTGTCCTATGAGACAACATAATTTTTTTTCTAAGTAACAACAGAGAGCCCCAAAATATTAGACAGAAACTCTCATTTTACTATCTCTGCATCTGCTAAAAATTTAACTGAAGTTTAGTTAATCCATGAAATAATTTGGATTGTGTCTTTTGTACTGCCCCGACAATTCTTTTACCAAGCATGATTATTGTTTTCATGGATGATTATTGTTTCCTTTCATGCATGATTATTGTTTCCTTCCATGCATATGGCTTCAAGTGATCGATTTGTTTCCTTCAAAGCAGGCGGGGATCACAGGGATGACAGTTTCTTTCTCTATCGCGCGGGGTATCGCACGGCCGGAAGGGAGGAGCGACCCAAAAAAAAGTCGCACCAAAAGAGGTTGGCCAATTTGAATTCTGTGTTAATTCTCTTTCCTTTTGCTCGTTGCCATGTATGCTGGTGCATGCAAACATGTAATGTGTATATGGATAGCACAATAATTTTCTACTTCCTATTTTGTCGTGATTTCTCTATCACATAACAGACAATATTCAATCAATGAGAATGGCATGCGGGAGATGTCGTGGGATCGTAGGCGTGGACAGACGGACGAACCAAAACAAATATCGCACCAAAAAATATCCACACTTTGTTCTTTTTAGTTGTAGGAGATATATGAGTAAGAGACATGCTTTTCTCTCTCCTGTCTTCTCTCTTTCAAATAAGCAAAATGATGACCTCGAATCCTTACGAGCTAGCTAAAGTGACATAGTTGGAGATGCCTAACTAAGAGTAAGAGTACTGACAATTAAAGTAGGAGCATGCTCTAAATCAAAGACTTGTCCAAGTCTTAATTACATAATACAGTAGCTAGTATATATTAGTGGATTGTAGTGTCCATGCATGTATGTATGTAATAGCAGGGCGGCAGCCCAGCTAGCATGGGTTGGATGGGAGAATGACATGTAACCAACCAAGTAAGAAACATGAAGGAAGGAATGATACGATGAAGGATCATATACTCCCTCCGTCAGTTGTTATGGTAAGCGTGGAGGTTAAACTTTTTCAACTTTAACTAGTTTCGTAAAAAATACGTGTAATATTTATATTTCTAAATAAACTTATTATAAAAAAGTATATTCAACGATCTATCTAAGAGCGCTCAATGCAAGAAATTATTAGCAGTTTCTATAGCATAGGACATTGTACCAAGAAACTATCATTCCCAATGCAAGATTTTCTATAGCATATGACATAAGTAGTGATAGAAACCATATTTGCTCTCCCATCACGGTTAGAGTAGTTTCTTGTCCATCGATAACCGTGAAGACCTAGTTTCTTAGTTAGACATGGTTTCTTGGATTTTTTCTCTCTCTCTCCTCATTAAATCACTTGCCACGTCAGCAAATTGCCTACGTAGCAGTGCAATTAATATCTATAGAAACCATCATAGTTTCTGTATTGTGAGTGCCCTAAGAGCACTCCCAACAAAGAAGCTAGATGGTTTCTATCTTTATTAATTATGGTGCCAACTAAGCAAAAAGATGACTTGGCACTACAATTAAAGAAGAGAGATGAGGAAATGGTTTCTTAGAGAAGAAACCATAGGTAATGAAGAGAGAAGGCATGCGATTAGATAAAAATTTATTACGTAGAAACTATCCATTAGTAAAATAGTTTCTACA